TATCACTTGGACTCAACAACTGTTAACATTTTGCCATGATGGGTCTGTCTCAGCGTGAAATTTGAAGATACAAGAATATTGCCCCATAAACAACATTACCATTGCTATTACTGACAAATTAATAACAATTCTGTAAAAGCATATAATACTCCCACCATATTTAAATGGTCCAGCTTTGCTCTGAATGTCTTTTTAAAGCTGGTGTGTTCCAAAGAGGGCTATTGATATGTCGCACTGTGAACTAGCAAACCTGCAATGTGAATGCAGTGATCTAGGGCCATTAGGTCAGAGGGAGATAACTGCTCCTTATAGGGCTCTATCTCCATGCCCACCACCCTCTCCCCTATCATCCTCACCCTCCTAACTCCCAATAGTTTTCAGTATCGCCTCCCCTTTCCAGCCTGGTCCCTCTGGCAAATCTCATCTTTCCCCTTCCTCAGTTAGTCTCAGTTGTTTCAAGAGGTTCTCTCACCTAAAACTGGTGGATTGAAGACCTGGGAGGATGGGAGCAGCCTCTCCCACTGGTATTGGGCAGCAGGCTTACTCCTTGGGGACTGGCAGCTCAGGGCCACATTGTTCCCCACACGGGGCACGCCCTGGAGATGGCAGGACGGAGAAGCAGGAGGAACTGGGAGGAGAGACAGCATAAAAACTCCACTTAAGGGACCCATAGGTCAATCCCTGCCCTTAGGCCCCTTCCCACCCCCACCCCCACACACCCCACCATCACCACCACCATACATACTCCCTTTTGTGGCTCCATATGCCTGTCCTTCCCCCAGTCCATTTGGAAGAAAGACCTGCCTGGTCTTCCCTGAAGAGAGGGGGTGGGATTAGAACACCTGTGCTTCTCACTTACCCAGCACATCCAGATCCAAACTTATGAGGTGGTAGACATTATTTTTGGGTTGACTGCCAAAAATATTCACAGTACAACGGTAAGACCCAGAGTCTCCCTCTTGGACGTCCTGCAGCCGAAGTGACACATTTCGGGAGGGCATGGGGTAGAGCAGAGACACTCTGGGATTGCTGGACACAACTCCATTGTTGTAAGACAACACCTGGTACGGGACACAAAACCTCCCCATTATTACCCACATCTGCTGTGTCCACAGATTTTCTGAAACTGCCATGCTACATATACCCCTCATCTGGATCAATTCCTTATCACTTGC